AACAAATTGGCCAGTTGCTACTTAGATTGCAACGTGTCCAATTTGTTTTGCAAAATGTCCAGTTTGTTTTGCAAAATGTCCAGTTTGGTTTGCAAAATGTCCAATGTGGTTTGCAAAATGTCCACTTTGGTTTGCAAAATGTCCACTTTGGTTTGCAAAATGTCCACTTTGGTTTGCAAAATGTCCAGTTTGGTTTGAAAAATGTCCAGTTTAAAGTGAAAATGGTATAAATCATTGTACAAATTTGTCTGTAGCTACGGAGACAGCCAAGTCGGGCGCGCGGACTGATGTCTACGCGTTAAAACTAATAAATGCACTCGTAAGAGACTATGCAGCCAGATGGGTCCCGTGAAAATGGATTCCGATGAGCCGAGATATCGAGTTGCCTGGGTAAGTACAAGGTATTTACTGAGCACTGACCATCAAGTCAAACGCGTCCTGACACACATAGTGGTCCCACATTTTCAGGCTACTGGAAGTCAGTCGAGAAACGCCACCGCGATGTGTGCAGAAACAAGTGTGTGTGAATTTAAACGTATCGTGATATCGGTTGGTTAGCTACCCATCTTCTATCATCGCATGATTGCATATATTCACCATAGATTGCATTCTTGTGATTTATAGGTATGCACGAAATAACTTAGTCGTCACATAGCTTACGTTTGGTGTTTGTTTGGCAACATACAGAAAATCTCTGGTTTTATTAAAAACCTGGTTGTTTCGACTGTCCTAGTCGGAACGGAAGAAACGCTTTCCAATAACAGTACCCGAACGGCAGAATACCTAATTGCATTCGGATCGACACGGCAAATGCAACTTAGCCGCCAGAGATGGGCACACGCGAGCTGCAGTTAGGAACGACGGCACCGAGACAAGGAAAAGGAAAACGGACTTAGTCGAAGGCGAACAGAACCACAACAATTACGTATTAATAACTCAAGAGCATTAACATCAGGGACTGACGATAGAGGAAAGCAAATGTCACTATATCACATGGGTCGCCATGCGGTGGCAATGTCCCGCAGACAATTCCACTGAGGTCAATGCTAGTTACCACCGGGGGAAACACAAGTTAAATCTGTACGATTTATGTTGAAGCATAACAGCGGATGACAGCTCAATTGTGTCCTACATAGTTTGAGTCATCGCAGGGTGACATCCTTGCCGAAGTTGCTTCGGAGGCAGGACTGAGATGTACTCTGCGCACGTTTAGCGGGTCCATGAGAACTCTGCAACCTGTTTCGAATAACTGAATGGAGTACAACACTACAGTACAGTCAATGCCACTGAATGCGTCAGATAACTGCCCGTTATGCAGTGAGAATATTAGGTGATTGACCCTGTGGGAACACTGGTGCCTACAAAGTATAGCTGATAACTTGTGGCGGTGCCGAGTGAGTGATATTTGGTGCCTCGTAATAGACCTTCTTGTCATTCAAAAACGTTTATTTTATAATCATCACTCCGGTCATCCTACAGGACTTGCCAAGCTATCGGTTTTCTGCCCGTTATGAATCGCCATTCAAGTTCACCCGCAGCTGCAGAGACAGCGATGTCGGACGAACTCACCGAAGCCTAGGTGCTAGAACCAAAATTTTTGAATGACAGACTGCTTGCGTTGATTTGATCAGTGCTGGTTTATCTAGATCCGTGCTCCTGGGGTGCACGATACATGTGTCGTACTAGGAGGCGCCTACCTGACAGGATTTGCGAGCACATCCCGAAGCGGCTTTAGAGGTGAAGCGAGGTCGTCTAATAGCTCCATCAGATCGCATCTTCTCGAGTACGGTCAGTAGGCTATGAAAAGGTCTTTAGTCATCTATTCTATTCCTGAGAGAATCTCGTGCGAATTCCGCAAACATTTCCTATTCATTGATGAGGCAATCTATATTCGCAACCCCAAGCCGGAGCTCTGCGTTTACAGAATTCGTAGGCCAGTTGTTTTTACTGTGGACCACATCTTTCGGTTAATGAACATCCGATTGGCATTTTAACGCTGCTAAGCTTTGATTGATGGTAGAAGCAAGGTACCTAATCACCATTCCCTTGCAATTAATATACCAACGTCAGTGACATCGTGATTTATCAATTTGGACGTTAAGTTGCACATCCTGATCAATAATCAGCCCAACTCGGCGCATTTGCTACGTAACCCGCACTATGTAAGCGTATAGATTTGATGGGATTTACCAACAAGTAATTTCAACTAGGCATTCTGATTCAGCTTATTAGATAGAAATATGTCGACTGTTAAAGATAAGCATTCCCAGTGATTCAAATACAAGTTAGAATGACGCCCGCTGGTGTTAGGTCAAGCATTTCGCAGGCCTCTAAGTCGGTTGCACCAGTGTGTGTGCAGAGTCTAGCAACAGCGGTTAGTCGGCTAAAATACTGAGATGTCCTGTCATGAACACGGTAAAAAAAGAATAGCAGGGAAGCGTCGATATGCCATGTAGGGCATACTAGACGTCAATATTGCTCACACCAGCTGTTAGTGCCTCATCAGTTACGGAAGCATTGGAACCCTTGGAATAAAAACGCAAATAAATCCGGAATTGGTTTGGAAAATTAATTCACGAATTCGATGTATTAGCTGCTAATACACTCCCACAGAAGTTATAATCCTATTCCAGTGGTTCGATAACTTTTAGAAACCGTTAGCGTAGATTTGAATCAGTTTAAAGTAGTCAGCTTTAACTCATCACTGTGGAAAAGGTGGTCATGGAAGAATTCTCTGTTTTCAGAGGTAGAGATCACTTAGCGCCAAGTCTGGAGAATGGCAAGATGCAATCTAGGAAGAGTCGGCATTCAACTCAGTACAGAGTTCAGCTCGTTCCTAAACGAAAAGTATTCTGGAACCCATGTGACATACCCTTACTGGGACAGTAAGAGATCCTGAGGTATGATATTTAGTTTTAGGAACGATAGATTATAAACGCTTACAATTCCCCAACGAACCATGTGACGGTTGCCAGTGATAAGCCGTTCGACGCACAGAATGTTCCAGGATCGTAAGTGACAGAGAGGCATACGAAGGCACATCATACCGAAGGGTTCGCTACCATGCGAGGCCAAAAGTTGCGCGTGGGTTTAGCATACCGCGAGATCGGTTGCACCTACGTGGATTCGAACCGTGGTGACCTTCGGATTGCAAGGCGAGCGCGTAATCCTCTCATGCACCAACCAACAGAATTGTCAATGAACATGGATGAAGCCCTTGCATCATTCAAATGTATTACCGCAACTCTGTTTTATCATCATACCGTGACCAAAATCTTGTGCAAATTTCCGCTGAGTTTATACTCTCCATCGTTAGAAACTTAACCAGAATAGGTTGTCCCAGGTGCAAAATCACTTTATTGTTCGCCAACTTGAGTAAACTTGCATTGAATGGAGTACGAGAACGGGTGGCTACTCTCAGTAACAGGACACAGTTGTCAGTTCTCAGCGTGTAAAGTACTTCCAACTTGGGATTAGACTTTGAAACTGAAAAATAATAAGTCCCTGATTGGATTGAATGATCCACATACGTCTGAGCATTAGTATAACATGAGTGATGTGTGCCGAAACGACTGGATCCATTGAGCTGATCGGCAGTGTATTCTGATTTCAGATATTTCGTGGCTTCTCATCAGCTGTTGACAGACAAGCAGCGGAACTATTACAATGTAACACACCAAGGTAAAACGGTAGCACGAGGGATATCCACTTACAATTCAATGAAGCAATATATCGACAAATAGATGACGTGGCCATGGGTAGTCTGCTTGGACCAATCCTAGCTGATATTTTCATGGGGCACTTGGATAACACCAAGCTTCACCCTTATATACAGTAATTGCACTTGTATACCAGATATCTCGACGACACATTTGTTGTCGCGCTCAGTAGGTAACGCATCTACTTGATGCCCTGAATCAGTGCTATCCCTCGATGGAAAAGGAAACAGGCGACACCTTCCATTTATTGGATGAGTCTGAAAAGGAATCCAAATGGTACGATTACTCGATATGTATACCGGGAGTCCACTTGGACAGGACAGTATCTCAAATCTACCAATTTCTGTCCGATTAACTATAAACGAGCGCTTGTGCGTATCACCTTTGCGATAACTCGTAAGATCAGCTCCGTTGAGACCAGTGATAGTGAGTTACAGCGCGTCTCGGCAACGCTGCGCGAAAACGGGTATCCCAAGAGATTCATAGCACGTCACTCAAACGCTCAAGCAATCGAAAAGAGTGCAGCTGTCGTCCCTAAGAAGAAAGTATTCATTCAGCTATCATCCAAAGGAGAGCAAAATGACAGGCGATTTCGATATCGCTTCCGTCAGCCCATTAAGAAACGTTATTACGCGGCCGAGCTAGTATTACTGCACCATGTTAGGAAGATGCTCTGTAAATCCGACCTGGACAAGCCAGACTCTAAAGTTACCGTTACTTGTATTTACATTTTTCATTGTACTTGCGGGAGCAAGTATGTGAGCCGAACTGAGAGGAGGCTATCCATAAAGATTTCAGAGCATGTCCCGCGTAACACGGTGGCAGATGACCCGAAGTTGTCCGCTAGCTCTGTTGCCCGGCACATACTGGATTGCCCCACTTGCCAGCATTCACCTAAGTCATTCAGGATCATTAGTCGGCATAGCACTGCCCGTCTGCTTCAGTTTGCAGAGGCCTCAGCAATCCGTAGGCTGAAGCCGAACTTTTGTAAGCAGACAGAATTGCTAACTACCCTAGCCTTACCCTGGTGAGGCGTAATCGAGTAACTTCATTTAAACCGGACGATTTTGTACTCCGTTTTACCTTGGTGTGTTACATTTTGATAGCCCCACTGATTGTCTGTCAATAACTGATGAAAGGACACGAAATATCTGAATTCCGAATATACTGTCGAAGAGCTGCTTTTTATTGCTATTCTGAAATTTGTAAAGGGAAAGTCCTGTATGAACGACAGTGATCGGAAAGCCCGCCACCGTCGCCGCTAGCAAAACAGTTGAAGATGGAAGAGAACATGGTGAATTATTGGCAGAAAACGGTGGAGAACAAGGCACAATTGAGTACAACATATTGCGTACACGCACTAGAGAGAACATGTGTGTATGTGCGTGCGTCGGATTAAGGATGGAACAACAACTACTCATGGGTATAAGATGAACGTGAGGCAAATCATTCTACCCTCACCAACAAGATAATATTAGAATCATGATGTCTGACAATGGTCAGAGAAAAGTATGCAGTAAGCACCCGAGTGAACTCAACCAGTGGGCGGGGGGGGAGTGACTGAGTTGGAGAGAATCGTGAAAGCAGTGTGGCAGTGGTGTGATTGGAAGAGTTTCGACCAGATCGAGGCACAGACTTGAACACATGGTCACACAGTGTATTAAAACACTGTCCTAGGTGGGTGGGATGAACAAACCGATGGGGGGATCAACCAAGCGACGGTAACAGCTCAACATAATTGGATGGGAAGAGACCGGACTTTCCACCGGGCATGCGGCCTCGCCACCAGTTCTCATTCTCGCGACCGATTATCTCGATAACATCTCCGCGGTGGAACGAGAGTTCTTCAGGGTCTTCGGCAGGGAAGTCGAATTTCGCTATGCACCGTTCAATCTCATTTTCACGTCCAGAGGAGGGGTATAGCTGTGAAACAATGAAAACAATGCGCACAGGACAATCAAAAGAGAGTGCGTAGAAGAAACAGACAAGAACAGTCAGTAAATGAAAACTGAACGCAAAAATCCTTAGTGCGGTGTGTGGCGTAAGTCACAACGCAAACCACTGATTTCGACATGAAGTGCCCAATGACGGACGCGAGCATAACCTTGATTCCGCGAAATAAGCTTTAGAGCTGATTGAGAAATCAGAACGAACCGAGTTTGTATGCTGGTAACGTTTCACTCTTAACTTAACAGTACTCTTGAATCAAGAGTGAAATCTTGCCACAATACATATTCGTACAAGATCGATTTGCAATAAAAACCTAAGAACTCTGACCCACTTCACGCCAAGAATACTGTGACTACGGCTGAGCATCGATGGCCAGTGTACATTGAATCGGGGAATTAAATAAACCTTGTGATCAACAAAGTGAGACTCCAAAGAGACCAATCAAGTCTTGGCGTGCCATCGATCGATAGCCGTCACGGGATTCCATAGATGAGTTAACACAATCCATACTAATCGATGTAGTTACTATCGGAAGCTTCAAGAAATGAACAACCTATACATACGAGTAACATCAAACTTAGGGCGGCAATGATTCAGTAAAAGATGTATAGTATGGGAAAACAAAACAAAAAAGTTCAAATGAGGGAAGAAATACCGCGATCACACAGAGATTGGGACAACACACAAAGAAGACGAAAATGTCAAATTGCTCAAGAGCAACGGTGCCGTGTGAATGGACTGCCACTCAGGTCGATTTATGCAAATATATGCTTTTTGCGCAATGAGCCTGATATTTCGCGCGTCTACTTTACCGCAAGATTAACATGTACTCTTAAGGAAAAACATTAGGCGGTAGAACAGATGAAACTACAACACACCGTTGCATATTTGGCGTGCGCTCTTGGCGACCTTGAGGAGAGGGAAATAAACTCAGTTCATTGCGGCAGATGCGGTGACCATGAAAAAAGCCATAATAATAATAATAATAACATCAATAACGACAGTTGATGACGGTAGAAAAACTGAACTATATAGTAAGCAAACTGAATAGAGGGGATATAAGGAAAAGAGAAGAGTAATATAATTCGAGGTGGAAAATTAACGGCTAAGTACAAGACTGCAAATACAGGAACGTCACCATCACCGAGGCTGGGTCATGGTCAGTAACGTTCTCAGCCATTGATGAGGTCTATTCTGAGGCGTACAACCCGAAAGATTGCATGTATCGGCTCTAGTAAAAGCCAATACAATTTGCCCATGCTTTTATGATAGGTCATCACCTGGTCACTGCTCGGTTTCGTCAAACTAAGTGAAGCGATAACATCAAGGAGCAAACCGAAGACATAGTCAAAACAACGCAAGTGAACACAAACACCATTGTTGCACTATTTAGAGTTGTTGTCCAAACACTCGCCTTACAGACGCATGGTTGACAAGCGAAGTAACCTGATAAATCCAATGTAAAGGTGATGACAGAGTCCCATGCTGTTCGAATATTTGCTTGAGTTAAAGCGTTAGCGGTAAACTAACCACAGCACGCTTAAATCTCGGATTTTTCGTTGTAAAGTTGATAGTGCATGTTAGTGGACAGTGGAAAGGGCCAAACGTGTACGGCGCAAAGGACATGGCGTCCTAATGTTCCGCTTACTCGTCCTGTCCAAGCAGCTATCATACATGGGGCAATATGGCAAGGAAGGAATGCAGGAGAATGTCGAGTGGCCCTCCGGGAAGCAAGAACGAAGTCTGGGCGGCGACCAGAAAATCATTATTAAAAGGAATCGCGGTTTTTATAGGCTGCATACAGCATTCAGCTGTCGTCCGTTTATTGGCTAGTCTTTATTAACTGGCCTGTGACGTTATCTTCATCCAAATGGTTCATGCGTTTTCTTCATTTGGACCGATCCAAGCTTGCTAAATTCAGGGTTCCGTCGAGCCTCGTTGTTGAAATTCCGGGTAGACTGCATGGTGGCACCTGATTTGCCGTCCGCTCATTTGGTCGATGGTCCTACGATTGCTTATTTGCCACCACTGGATGTGATGTTACTATGGACTCAGGCGTAACCCATTCCGCTCGCTGTAGGGTCGACCAATCTGCTTTTCTGCTGTCCAAAGGTGTGCTGACCTGCCATCGTGCTAGTCGGGATGCGTTCCACACGCTCAGTTCCCGTGACTAGCGTCTGATTGACCATTGATATACAAGGTTGATGCTTCCTCGGCTAGCTAGCTGATACAGCAGTGCGTGTCTTTAAAATGGACGCCGGCGTGAGCCGTCCGCTCGCAATACGGCTGACTAATCCGATTCTGGCATGTCAAAAATCACGCTGTTTCGCTTTGAACAATGAATCTACAATGGTTAAGAAGCGCTACTTTACAAGTCCCGTTGGATAATTGGTGGGGATATCAAAATACTAATGATAATTACTAGTGGGTAGGAGGATTTTAGTTATAATTTAATGTGTTCGTCCCAGCAGCTCACAAGCTACATAGCTTAGCCACAATCCGGAAAAGCACCAGACGCGTTTCACCCTATCGGGGCTCGTCAGTGGTGCGCATTCCCTTGGTCTCCTATTGGGGATCGAACCCATGACCGCAAGAACGCCAACTAGACAGCATCTTAAGCCACTGAGCCATGGGGAACGGCAGCTGGGCTATACAGTTTGAAAGCTAACTGGGATATGGCACGACCTATGTTCCACTGCCACTCATGTTACTACCATTGCAGATGACAATGGCTATACTACAGGTCATGATAATGATAATAAAACAGTACTTCAAAGATGAAAAGAAGGACTTTCGTTTTTCATGCTGTACTTCTGAAATCCGCGCAGATTCACAGCACTCACGATTAACAACAGATAAATCAGTTACACTCCAGGAGTAGGGCTAAGTAACAAAGTGTAAGTGGATGAGTGCATCGTTCAACCGTCTTTTAAATACTATTAGTGTCGGTGCAGGGACGATCGATTCTGGGAGAGCATTCCACGAGTGACAGACACGAATGGAAAAGAAATTTTGCGGCACTCCAGACGACTGTATTGTTCTGCGAGTTTTAATGAGTGGCCCTCGGGTTTGTATTGCTGGTGAGTTGCAGTAAGGAGCGGCACACATAATGTGGATCGTGCCCTGAGCCGGACCAGTAGTGCGCGCTCGGCTTTCCTCTGATTGGTCCCCAGTCCATCGGTACTGCGAAGATTCCTTTGGCCCCAGGTTTCAGCCGTCATCACATCCCTTCTATTTTTAAGAAGTTGTTGTAATACGTCCCGTACAGTCTTCCGCTGCGTGTAAGCTTATTATCTTAGTTTGAGGTTACAGGTGTCCTTTCTCGCTTCTACTGCCAATCTTCGCATTGCAGAGTCCGCCCGTGACGTACTCTTCTGTTGCACCCGATTCCGTTTAATGATATTATTCCCTATAATGACTTCGTAGCTTCTTTCACTCCTGCGGCCTTCAAGCACTCCCTTCCGACAATGTTCGTGTTTCGGGTACTGGTTGCACTCGTACTTTTTATCATACAGCAAGAGGTGGAAGGTATTTCGATTCAAGATTATAGTACTTCTTTTGTCTTAGAATTCGGTTCTGTAGTCGGTCGTGCACAGAAAGGGCCCCTGCAATCTCGAGCTGCAGTTGAATTGTAGCGGCTGGTAGCCGCGTTCTTGTTCTGCGACCGAATAGTCGCTGCACCGGACTTACTCCGGTCTCGATAGACGACATGTTTATTCACTCCGGCAGCATTATATAGGGATCCTCATGGGTCTCTTTGGTTTTGGTAAGCTCTTTCTTGCCACCTTCACCGCTGACTCCGCCTTTCCAGCTGACTGGCTGTAGTACGGGCTGATAAGTTGATGCGAAAAATCCCATTTACTGCACTGCTAAATTGAAGCCCGTAGTCAGAAACCATTACCTCGGGTATTCCATCGAGAGCGAATTGGCACCGTAATCACCATGATTTACGTGCTGGTTGTCGTAAGAGCATCAATCTCGAAGTAGCCACTGATGTAATCGGTCACAATCAAAAATGCTCAGTGTGATCACCTGCCAGAGCCAATATGGAACGACACAAAGCATCATCAGCTCTTTCAGCTGGCGCACATCGGGTGTCCTGCATATCAAATTGTTTGATACGTAATCACGTAGCTGGCCGGTCATTCCTGGCCACAGCATCAGCTCACGTGCTTTTGCCTCGCAATCGCTGATTCACAAATATGCATAGTGCATCATCTACAGCACTGAACGTTGCAGTGTCTTCGGAACTCCTGTCCTGTTGCCATTGAATATTAATCCGTCTTGGGTGATGAGTTCGTCGCGAAAATGGAAGAACGGTGTTAACTTCTTGAATAGTTTTGTCTCGTTTTCGTGCCATCCGTTCATTAGCCTGCTTCAGTAGTTTGCATAGTTCGTCCTCCTCCATGCACCGTTGGAGCTGCTGCAATCGTCCCTCCGTGACAGCGAGCAGCTGTGTTGCGTGAACAAAATATGGGATTTTTTCCATTGCGGGTGTGTTTGACAGGTAGGCTCTTGTCAGCGTGCCCGCAATGTGTATCTGGGATCCTGACCGGCAGACAATGCCCAAGTCATACTTCTGCAGACGGCATGGGACAACATGGAGTGATTTACTAGCAACAGACACCAGGGATTTGTGGTCGGTAATGACGGTGGTCTTGTGATCGAATGTATAGTCGTTGAAGCGTTTCGCAGCGTAAACCAACGTGAGCATTTCCTTTGTTATTACCGCGTAATGGCGCACTTTCTCTGTTAGCGTCCGGTTCGCTTAAAGCAGTTTCACCTGAATTAATGAGTGGGTCTGATGAAACCACGATGGGACGGATGTCGTTAAACGAACACAGGATGGTGCCAGCAACACGGTGCACTACATTTCTAACGGTATTTGAACAATCCTACCGGGAAAAGTTCACCCGAATCTGAAACTTGATCCTACTAAGCGATCCACTTAGTGCCAAATTCTATCGGCAACA